GTCTATGTCGATGATGTCATTGTCACTGGAAATAATGTTGCTCTCATAGACAGTCTTGTTGCCACACTAGATAAAACTTTTGCGTTGAAAGATCTTGGCTTGCTCAGTTATTTTCTTGGCCTCCAGGTCACTCATCTCCCTTCCGGAGTTCTTTTAACTCAGGCAAAATACATAGATGACGTGTTGCGTCGCCTGGATATGGAGGGCTTAAAGCCAACCCCCTCCCCCACTGTATTTGGGCAAACACTTGTCAATTTCTGATGGAGAGCCCATGAGTGATCCCTTTCTATACAGAAGCACTCTTGGTGCCCTTCAATATCTTACCAACACTCGGCCAGACATCGCGTATATTGTTAATCACCTAAGTCAATTTCTCAAACAGCCCACCAACATACATTGCCAAGCTGTGAAGCGGGTGTTACGCTACTTAAGTGGTACAAAACACATGGGCCTCCACATYCAACCAAGTGACACGGTCTCTCTCACAGCTTATTCTGATGCAGACTGRGCATCAAACATTGATGATCGCAAATCAATTGCTGCTTATTGTGTTTTCTTTGGAAACACTCTTGTCTCGTGGTCGTCGAAGAAACAAACGGCTGTTGCTCGCTCCAGTACTGAGTCCGAATATCGTGCTCTTGCTCATGCTTCCGCTGAAATTATTTGKCTGCGACAACTCCTTGGTGAACTTGGTGTCAACGTTAGTTCTCCGCCCATTATTTGGTGTGACAATATCAGTGCTGGTGCTCTAGCAACTAATCCAGTCTTCCACGCTCGGACCAAGCACATTGAAATAGATGTCCACTTTGTTCGGGATCACGTGTTACGCGGTGCTCTTGAAGTTCGTTATGTACCATCTGCTGATCAACTAGCCGATTGCCTGACTAAACCACTCACTCACTCTCAGTTCCACCTACTACGATCCAAACTCGAAGTGCTTGACCTACCCGCTCGTTTGCGGGGGGATGTTAACGTAACTTCAGCAAGGAAGTTGAAGCCACACACCACGTCATAGTCAAAACAAGAATATCTATTATTGTGCATTTTTGTTACAATATTTTTGTTAAAGTTTAGATTCTTTTTCTTCTACACTTAGGATATACTTTTATATAAATAGAGCCTTTGAGTGCCATCATAATACAGTGAAATATAAACATCATACCTTCTGTGTGAAACTTCCTCTTGTGAAATTCTAACTTAGTGGCAGAAAATGGATCGTCAGATTCTGATCTGGATGCTTTAATCAAGGAATTGAACTCTTTGGCCTYTTAAAATCCATTCACTGGGGTTGCTTTATTGGACGTACTTCTCGAGTCACTGTGTCTTTTTTCTTTTCTTTTTCTTTCTTTTTTGAAAGAGCTGTTCAAGATCATTTGGTTTTCAATAATGTGTTTCGGGGATCTATGAGACTTTTCATTGTATTTTGTGCCATATTGAAATTTATTTCTTAAAAAGAATTTGAGTGTGTGCCACTTCATCCTCTAATTATTTACAAAACTACTTATAAACGAAGAAGTTTAGCTCAACTAATTAATACAATATTCAAATCTATTTTTTAGGATATATATATATATGTTTTAATAGTTATGTCCTATTTACTTTCGGAAAATGAGAATTGAGAATAAATTTTTCATTCCGTGTTAACACAGGTGCTAGGAATGCAATCAAATTGTGAACTCACCTCAAATTTAGAAATCTCATTCCTCTCCTTGCCCACACATTTATTAAAATTATTTTATTACTATTACCCTTTCTCTCTCTCTTTATTAATGATACTATGGTTTTATTATAAAATATAATAATTTTATATATTTTTTTTACTTTATTATTATTAATTAATATAAATAGATTTTTTAAAATAGAATTTATTGTTATTGAATATTAAAATAATAAAATTTAATAATATTTTATATTAAATTCTAATAAAAAGTATTTTAGTTGATGTAATTTTATTTTAATTCATTATTATTAATATTAGATAAATTGTTATAATAAAAAAATATTTACTATAAATCATATAGTAATAAAATAAATTAAAATTTATTGTTATTGTTATTGTTATTGTAATTAAAAAAAATTAGCACAATAATATATTTATAATTCAAAGATGAGAGGGGTATACTAGTAATGGTTATATAATTGATTTCGATTGCAGACAGTTTTGGCAAACAACATTAAAGAAATTTTGATCTTGATTCCATAAATTCCTGGTAAACAACATTAAAGAAATAGAATTTTCATTCCGATTGATTTTTATTCTGATTCATTCCATTCTGATTCTTGCTAAGTAAACATGACCTTAATATATATTCATATTAGCGGATAATTTTTAGTAAATGACCTGATAAAATAATTTAATTATTTTATAGAAATTAACCCAACAGGTAGTTTATCACAAAATGAATATTATCAATGATTTATTTAATTATTTGTTCATTTCTTATCGTGCGATTAAGTTTATTTACTAATTACCATCACGTGGTAATTTTTCATTAAATTAAACTTAGCCAATAGAGTTTTAAAAAGTTAACATATTTTAAATAACAAATTTAAAAACTATTAATTCAACGCAAACTAACCAAAATAGTAAATTAATTTATTGTATAAAATACATTTCTTTAAATAATTATGCGACTTTTACATTACATTGAAAAAAGAGTTTGATAAAACTATGGATTCAGGGGAATTAACTTGATAGATTGTAGATTGTATGAGGTGTGTTGGTGCTCTAAATTATTAAAGACAAACAAACAAACAGTTTAGATTATTTTTATATGTGTTATTAAAAATGTAATAATTTTTATTTTTTATTTTCTATTTTTGGCAAATATAATAATATTTATTCAGTAACTAATATTTTAAGCATGGATATTTTATTTTTAATAGAATTATTAATCAAAATTATTTTTAAATATTTATATAATATTTTATTAATTTTGTTATTGATTTTTTAAAATATTTTTCGAAATGTGAACAAAGTGTATACATAAATTATTACTTATAAATTTATCATTATAATTGCTCTTAAACATGAAGTTTATAACGGGTATAAATGAAATTTAGGTTAGGTTGGTTTTTGTCAAAGTTGACATAACTTTAATAAAATTGAACTAAATTACCGCTATGGTTCCAACCGAACAAATTAACTCGAGTTGGCTAATTTATTTGTTTTTAATTTTTAACTTTCCCTTATAAAGCTTACAATTGGAAAATTTTTTCGATATATGGATTAATAATTTATTATTTACAATTCTAATTAAATTCATTCTTTTATTATTATTAAAATTATCATTAATTGTCAAAGCAGTAATTCGTATATATCTCTAACAAAAAGTCGTAAATTCGATCTCCCACTCTCACATGACATATTAAAAAAATTATAATTAATTAATTTCTTATTTAACTAATATATTTATTAAAAAATTAATGCATCTCAGAAGAGACGCTGAAAACAAAATATATATGGTTGCTATCCTAAAGAGTAATTGTACAGTGCTAGGGCATATTGGGACTTTGGAAATAAACATGAATTTGGCTCACTAATCCTACCCGTCTGGAAAACAGTGATTTACTTTTCAACTATTGAAACACAATGAGCAAAATGAAAGGTTTTCAAACGGTTAGAGATTTCAATTCGTTGATCAAAGCATCCAGATCGGAGTATGAAGATCCATTCTCTGCAACTGCCATCCTTGCCATATTGGCCAACTCTTTAGCTCTGTTTCTCATCTCCTCTGCTTCTTCTCCCTCCATTACTCTCCTTATCCCCTTCTCCACAGCTTCCCTTCTCACGAAATCTCCCGAAATCATCACCCATTTCTCAACCCCAATCGGAACTCCAATTTTCAACACCTCACTCACCAGTTTCTCATTGTAAAACTGCTCCGCGGCGACCGGCCACGTCACCATCGGAGCGCCGGCAGTTACTCCTTCAAGAGTCGAATTCCACCCACAGTGCGTCACGAATCCACCCACCGCCGGATGATCAAGAATCAGAACCTGCGGCGCCCACCCTCTTATGATCATCCCTTTCCCTTCAGTCCTCTGTTCGAATCCTTCCGATGACCAATTTTGGCCCTCTTCTTCTTCTTCCTCTTTCCCCTTCCGCACCACCCATATGAACTCCTGCCCAGAAGCTTCAAGCCCAATTGCGATCTCCATCAGCTGATCAGAGTTGAATTTAACCATGCTTCCAAAACAAACATACACAACCGAATTGGGTTTCTTCGAATCGAGCCATTTCATGCACTCCTGCTCGTCAATGGCGGATTCTCTCCCTCTCTGGGCTTTCTCTTGGGTTTCCTTATTGCATAAAGAAAGTGGGCCAATATGCCATGCCTTTCTTCCCAACACGTTCCTGTAGCAATCAGCATACTCTGCCTCCAGCTCGTAAAAACTGTTGACAACCATCCCGTAACAATCGGATTCCGATTGTTTAATTTTGGCAAAAAAATTGCTAACATCCGATAGAGTATTTCCGTGAGGGAATGTGGGGAGTTGCATTTTGGTTAACTTAATATCTCCGGGGAGATGAGGAATGAGAAAAGGGTGAGTATCAGATGAAACGTGGTCGTGAGGCTGGTGAATTGAGATGAGTTCAGAAGCAGAGAGGGCGAAAAAACTAAAGCCGTGGAAAATGAGCGTGGGGGTCCCAAATTTGGAAGCGACTTCGTTGGCCCAAGGGAAGAACATATCGGCCACGAGGCAATGGGGGCGATGCTCCATCAGAGCGTGCTCCAGTTGGGGCCGAAGCAAATCCATAGCGGAGATGAATTTGAAGAACAAAGCAGGGGTGAGAATGGAGTCGGCATTTTCACAAGCACCTGGCAGGCCGGCTTCTGAAGAGGGGAGATCAAGCAGCAGAAGCTGAATCTGAGAATTGAAGTTGTGAAGTGATTTAGAAATGGAGATGGAACTGAGAGGAGTTGTGAGAATGGTGATTTTGATGCCGCGAGATGCGAAGAGCTTGGCCATGTCGACGATGGGGACGATGTGGCCATCGGCCAAGAAAGGGAAGAGGAAGATGTGAAGCTGAGAACCCATTACTGCCCTTCCGATTCAAGAGATGAAGAGATCAAGAGAGAAATTGAATAGAAAAGAAAGAAATGGAAAACAGCAATACTTAGTTTCAGGCTTGCCGCTGCATGCCACCATCACAAATTTTGGGAAACTGATAAATTTTATCYGTGGGCACCGCCTAATTATTGCTACCAAAAAGCCCCCCTGTTTTCTTAATAAATTACACATTTTGGATTTCTTTGGCTCAGTGGTATTTGCATGCGACAGCCCCTCACACACTTCTTTACTTACACAACTACGTTCAAGCCGGCATTTGGGCACTCCTATTATATATATTTTTAATATTATTTGTAAAGAAAGAAAATAAATGATTACTGATATRGACTACAAAAGTATCTCAAATCTATATCTAGTGGTATTAAGTATTAGAATATAGAGCCAAAATTCAGATGGGACCGCTTACCGTGTTGTGGTACATTCCTAAGAATAGATAACTCTCTAGTATTTTTATTTTTATTTTATATTTCATTATATAATTATTTATCTATGATTTGCGTCAAGACATAATTAATTAGATCGGTAGGATTAATATTTTTCCCAACATTAAGAGCATGCAAATTTTTTAAATCTCCATCCAGCTCGGTTACTAGGGGCAACCAGCCCTCATTCACAAGAATAGTCAACAGGAAATTTCTTATCGTACGTTGAGTGGGGAATTATTATTCTTATGAGAAATTAGAGTTTGGGTTTTTATGGCATTATTTTTTTTAATAGAATGATTCAAAGCATCTTATGATAAATTTGAAATATACCTAAATATCTATTAGTCAGCACTCGTTTTATTGGCTACCACTAATTTTTTTATCATTAAAACATAGAAAGATTAAAAGAAAGCAATAAAGAGACATTTTTTATGTATTTTAAAAAAATAAAGAGTTATCAGACATTTAACAATCGTCAAGTAGAAAAAACACCTAAGTATTGTTATAAAAAATCATGGAAATCGATTTTGTCATTTATGTAGTGGTTCTTTTTTATAAAAAAATAATTGAAGAATAAACTAAGTTCTAAGTCTCGTTCATGTTCACAAAGGATAGGAATATTCAAATTCACGACCTTTTGATTATCTCGATTATAGATATACGTCAATTATCATTGAACTATGCTCATRTTGACAGTCTGAAACTATTACTAAGAAGAATTTTTTTATTTCAAAATCAATATATTTGATAATTTTTACCAAAAAATTTATCAACTTAAATTATGTGGGGATATATTAAGGCCACGTTAGTTACCTTTGTACACAAAGAAGGAAAAGGGCTCTACATTTCATAGGAAATGAAGTTCCATCAAATCCCATTCTTTAAAAAAAAATGAATCAAATGTGGCTTCACAGTTTCTTCAAAAATATATTTCATCATATTAGCTATTTTTATAAAATATTTATTTGATGTTATTACTCCCGTCAAACTCACTAAATAACACATATACGTGTCAAAGTTGAATATGACTCAATTATTAAGATATTATGTAAATTGATGTTATTACTCCCACTATTCCAAACCAACTAAATAAAAATATATATGCAACTTGAATATGACTAAATTATTAACATATTATATATCTTACAAATATTCAAATCTCCATCCCATTTAGTTGTACAAAAAGTCTTTCAACAAAAAATTGTACAAAAAGAAAAATCAAAACAATAGGCATGTGCAAGAAATCCCTATCTCACTTAGTTGTACTAATGTATAAAAAATGTTTTGTATTCAAATTTGTTACATCACTCACCAATCGCAGGACAACCATTACAAATTTCAAACCAGATCAATATCATCTTTTTATTCAAAACAACATAAAATTTGACAGTTCTTCTTCCTTTTTTATTTTATTTTTTAAACAAAAAAAATACTTCGACTTATTTCTTTTTTCATCAAAATTTAAGAGAGAGGCGCTAAGTAATCTATTTATCATCTACTTTTCCTTAGAAAAATAGCAATAATCAGTTAATTAAAGTTTAACTCAACAGACTATAGCATATGTATCCAAACTAAGGGGGTGTGATTTAGAATTCCTATCCCACGAAAACAGCAAGAATCAAACCTAATGAAGCAAAAAGAGCAAACTGAATGCTTGGATTTTAAACTGCTGAAGTTTTCAATTTGTTGATCAAAGCATCCAAATCCGAGTATGAAGATCCATTCTCCGCAACTGCCATCCTTGCCAATTTGGCCAACTCTTTTGCTCTGTTTCTCATCTCCTCTGCTTCTTCTCCCTCCATTACTCTCCTTATTCCCTTCTCCACAGCTTCCCTTCTGATGAAATCTCCCACAGTCCTCACCCATTTCTGAACTCCAACCGGAATTCCAATTTTCAACACCTCACTCACCAGTTTCTCATTGTAAAACTGCTCCGCGGCGACCGGCCACGTCACCATCGGA